CATACCCTCAAATACTTGGTTACATAACCAAGTAATTGGTCACATACACCAAATAGAGGTCACACACCACATCATACCACCGTTACCAACACTACGATGGTTCTCGCTGGCAAAGCTGCGATGGTGTCTGCAATCGGAACATCTCTGCATTTACCACTACAACCAGCATCAACAGTCAACACCACCACCACCAACACACCCCGACACAACACCACCACACACCTCCACTCCGCCACTGCTGAAAACCACCCGTCGCTCTAAACATCTTCGAGCAACACCACAGGCCACAGCACACACCCACCACATCTCCATATCCACCTACACCATTGAGAACAAAAAAAAAATCAAAAACCACATCCACCACCATCGCTCAAAACTGCAGATCCACCCTCGACCCGCCACGCCACCGCAAAATGGATGGCGAAATCGCTGCTGGTTTGCTGTTGGGAAACCTGGGTAGCTCCCAGCAGCGATTTCCCTGCTAGGCAGTAGCGAGGGGAGAGAGGGGAGGGGAGAGGAGAGGAGAAGGGAGGCGGCGACGGTCGATTATGGAGGAAGAGGAGAGGGTGAGAGAAAGTAGTGAGAGAAAATATGGATTGAAAATGAATTAGGGTGTGAAATATTAGTAATATAATATTATTTAGATATTTAATTCATGCCTGATTTTTTATTAGATAAAACTTGTACCTGAATTTTGAATTAGGAAGTTTAAACAACTGGTTTTTTGTAATTTCCACAATCCTAAAATAAGCTTGTAATCTTAGAGATTGTTTGAGAATGATATTTATGAAAATCATTTTTTCTCAAATTTTATTTTCAAAAACGAATTATATGGAATTCATAATATTTTTCTACTTTTTAACCACATTTTCCCACGAATGTACCATTATTAGCTGCACAAGGGATTTACCCGTCCATATTAGCCGTGATATCTTTCAATTTTATTCGGCAAGAAGCAAACACGAGCGGACCCGGGGGGAGTCCTGGAGGGGCACTTGCCCCCCCAACTTTTGAGTTTTTTTTTTTATATGGAATCGTGTTTAATATCGAATGAAATATAAATTTTAATTTAAATCAAAGTTGACAATTAATTTTAATAACATATTTCATGGAATCCATAGCTATTTAACTTTTATCAAAATTTACTAAAAATTTGATTTTAATCTCCATCAAACAGAGGAAAAATCACAAAAAAAATTTTAATTTTTCTATTCTTCTCCCGCCTTTTAACAATGTCTTAACTTTCCATCAAATAAGTGCGAAATATTGCATTTTTAATATCATTTCGAAGTGTTCACGGTCTATCGTAACAAATGCTACGACTTATCAAAGTAAGCTGTTCAAAATTAATATTTCGAAAATTTCGATAATATGCTAGCTTTAAAAAAATTTCGACGGTCATACGCTGATTGAATTTACAAATTACTTATGTCATCTCAAAATTTATTTCGAGAACTACATTATAGGCATATCAAATAATCCAAACAAATATCGAAAATAGTTAAAAATGCGTTAAACGTGAGTTTTAAAGAGACGTTTAACTCGCATTTTCTTCAAAAAAAAATTCAATTATTTCATTAATATTTATTATTTTTGCAATACAAATTTCTCAATATAATTTTCATCATTTTATTAAGAAATTTTATATGAAATATGACATAAAATTTTTTCGAAATTTTACATCTAAAAAAATCATATCCCATGTAAATTTTCGGATGTAAAATTACATGGGGTATGATTTTTTTAGACGTAAATTTTCGATTGTAAAATTTCTTCCAATTTCTTTACAAGTTCGATTGTATCCCCTAACTTTTAAGTTCTGCGTCCCCCGGAAGCAAATGGTGCATCCCATTCTTTAGCTAGATTATTTCTTACAGTTTCAAAGTATTGGATCGACCCTAATGATTGGGCTATTTCTTGAAGGTGGTTGACTGGAAAGAACACAGCGGGATTGGTGTTTTTCGACAAGGAGTAAAGATCCTAAGTGGTAGATGTGTGATTGAGAGAAGAGTTGTGGGTTGGATTAATAAACTTCTCTCTATTGGAGAGAATTTCTTTTTACATAATTGAGTGAGTGACAATGATGTATCTTATGTGCCCGTTGGCGCTCACTCATCTCTTAGTATGGATATAAAAGCTTCCACTATACTAGCGACTCGCTAACATGATTGATGACCCCATATCATTAAGTACAAGTCTCTTTCATATATATATGCAGCCCGTCCTAATGATTCTCAACCAACCTTGTTTTAGGTGGAACCATGTTTCTCAAACAAAAAGCTCAAACCCTTGAGGTCGTGTTTAGTACGCAATTCAAAAATAAAATACGGGTCCGTTTGATAGGCAAATTTGGAAAATAATTCAAATTCCATGTTAGTTGAAAAATAAAAACTCACCAAACCCATAAAAATTCGTTTTCCGTGAAAACAAAGAAAATACAATTTAAAGTAGTTTTACCTTGGAATTCGATTTCCATTTCCATGTTACAATCAAATAGCCAAAGTAAAATTCGTTTTCTTCGAATGTGACATTTTTCATGAAAAATGTGACAATCAAACAGGGCTTACATATTCAATTCCTCTCATTTCTTCTTTGATTGTCAAATTTACATTATCAAACACGAGTAACTAATTATTATGAGCTCGTTTTATCCGAACGTCCATAATCCATGTGTTAAATAGAAATAGACGGCTAAGAAGTAGAATTCAGCAAGTCCCATAATATACGTTGTCTAGTAATAATTGAACCCATCTTTATTCAATTAGACATGTATACAATCATGCAACAATATTAACTTTACATAGTGGAGACCAGCCTTTTTACTCTAATACTAAGCTCCTGTTTGGTGAGAATTAAAATCAATTTTTTGTTAAATTTTGAGAAAATTTGTTGAAATATGTGGTTGAAAAGTCGTGTGATCCATAAAATATATGGTTGAAATAAATTATTGACTTTAACTTAAATTAAAATCTAGTTTTTGATCCGTACTAAATATGGGCTAAATTAGGTTACTTTTATTAACCAAAAATAGATTGATTGGAAAACAACTTTATGCTGCAATTTTAAACGTACAAGGTTGTCTTGCATGGAAGAAATTTCCCAAAGAGAAAATCCAATAATTTACCCCACATTTCCCGAAGAAAAAATCCAAAAATTCCATGTATATATCATTTGCTATGTCCGATCATATTAAACTAGATAGTATCATAATTTAAGAGTTTAACTTATTTTCTTTCTAAATACAATAAAGTCCGCCTTACCAAAAAAAAAAAAAAAAAAACTTAGTTTTACATTTTCTATTTCTTTACTTGGAGAATGGTGAACTACTACTCTTTTAACATCTAAGAATGACTAAACTAGACTCAACTGCAAAATACGTAAGATTTTAACTTTTTTTTTTTCGATAACGTAAGAGTCCATGAAAAAACATAGATGTTGATATATCCATGTATTCTATGATATGTCACACCAAATAAGATGAGACCGTAATAGTTGGGATGATATATCGTGTTTGTTGAGAAATGTCGATCATGAGAAGATAAGATTAGACCGTGATAGTTAAAAAATTTAAACTTATTTTTGTTTTCAAATACTATAGAGTTCGTTCCCCCGAAAAAAGTTATGGTTTTCCATTTTTTCTCTCGGAGAATGGTGGGCTACTATTTCTTTCTACATAATGGAGAGATCTAGCACTGAATGACTAGACTAGACTAGACTAGACAAAGAAATAGAATATGGGCGTGTTCGATAGAGATTAAAATCGGATTAAAATTGAAAAACTAACCGTTATTGTTGACTTTTATTAGACGAGTGAGACCCACTAACAGCTATATTTTCAATTTTAATTGGATTTTAAGCACGACTGAACATGTTCTAAAATCTTAATTTCTATTTCTTTCGAGAGTTCCTATAAACAAGCTATCTTGATTTTCCCATTTTCCTTTCTTTTCTTATTTTTTTTCTTGGAGAACGATGAGTTGTTGATGTTGGAAAAATTGACTTTGGCACGAATTTTGAGCGGGATCTGTCTGGCTATTTTGGAAGATGAAAGTTGATTTGTGTTCTCCTCCGTGAGTACATCGAAATCATATACTCACTTGTCAAAAATGATTCTCGGGTGAATGACAAATTGAAACTTAAAGTATGCCAGGTGAAAGGAATTTATGTTGGTGGGAAAACTAAAAAAATAAAATAAAATAAGTTTGTCCCACATAGGAAGTGGATGAAAACTAAAACCATTTTATAAAATATTACATTTTAGAATTGTGTAACCATGTGTAGCATAGAGACTCTCTCCACATACATGTAGGGGGGTGCAAATTACGAACCGAAAGAGGTTTCGGACCTTGAACTTGTGTGCGGACGCGACCTGCGTACATGAATGTCGGACCGGATTGACCAAAATTGGCCCCTTATAAGAGCCTACGTTTTGCTACATTTTTTTTATTTTTCAACTGACTTTTCATTTTTTGAAACAATTGAAATTCCTAAAACTCCTCTTATAATTGTCATTAGTTAATGGGCAAGTTACCAATTTTATGAGCTTATAAGTGACTCATTTTCCACTTTTATCAATGCACAGAAAATCATATGCATACAAAATTCTGTCTGCATAAAGTCCTCGTTCAGTTCATCTGCGTACAATTTCGTTTTTTGTCCAATTAGTGATATAGTTCAGGCACAAAGTCGGTTCGCTAGAGTAGTATCTATGGTGCTCGGAAACTACTAGTTCTACCATTGTATCCTGGAAAACTGACG